TTTCTTTCTTTCTTTCACATTTGTTTATTTTGGATGTCTGTGCATGCCTGTGCCTGTGAAGAGTAAAGGACAATTTTTAGGAGTCAGTTTTCCCCTTCCACCATGTGGGTTCCATGGATTAAATTCAGGTCATCAGGCTCAGTGTGACAGCAACCACCTTTGCCCACTGAGCCATCTCACTCTGGACCACCTTTTTGTTTTGTTTTTGTTATTGTTTTGAGACAGTGTCTTATGTAGCTCAGGCTGACTTCCAACTTACTATGTAGCTAAGGATGACCTTCAGCCGCTACCTCCCAAATGCTGGAATTACAGGTATACAACCTGCTTAGCCCTATAAACATTCTTAATTCTTTTTGTGGATGGATACAAGAATGCCTTAAGAGGCCAGAGAAATGATTTAGTATGGCAAAGGTGCCTGCTTCCAAGCCTGATCACCTAAATTCAACCCCTGGGACCCACATGGTAGAAGGAGAGAACTAATTCCCACTACTTATCCTCTGACTTCCACATTCATGTGGTGGCAAGGGTACACACACACACACACACACACACACACACACACACACAAACACACACAAAATAAAATGTAAAAACAATTTTTTTCTTTTGTCTTTGTGAGATAGGGTCTCCCTGTGGCCCCAGCTGGCCTGGAATCACTGATCTGACCTTGATCACTTGGATAAGGTAGTATGTCCCAGGTTCCAGTGTTCAGCTTTGCTTTTTCTCTCATGTTCTACTTTTTCATACGCTATTCATTAGAAGTGAGGGGTTGATATACTTTGGTTTCTCTTCAGATCATATACATCTTTTACCTTTTATTAAAGATTTCCAGGGAGGGGAACTAGTCTGAATCTTAACCCAATTTTTAGGCCTTGCAATATAATTTAGGGCAAGGAAGAAGGAGAAGAAGAGGAGGAAGAGGAGGAGGAGGAGGAAGGAGAAAAAACAAAGAAGTAGTAGTAGTTAGGGACTGATAATGTAGCCTAGTGGTAGAGAGCTAGGCTCTGGGTTTGTTTCCCAGCAACACACACTCTACACATAAAAAGTGAGTCACCAAGGCTAGTCTGAGGAGAGGGAAATCAAATACCACCTGCGAAGAGAGAGATATTAAAGAATTTGGGAGGGAGGCTGGGGAGATAACTACTTGCCATGTAAACATGAGGACTTGAGTTCCATTCCCAGCACCCCCACAAAAAGCCAGATGTTGTGGCACATGCTTGTAATCTCAGGGCTGGGGCAGCAGAAACAGGAAGAATCCTGAGGTTCTCTGACCAGCCACTGTAGCCCAGTTAGTGAACCCAGGTCCTAGTTAGAGACCCTGTCTTGAAAAACAAGGTGGGGGGCTGGAGAGATGGCTCAGTGGTTAAGAACACTAGTTATTCTTGCAGAAGACCTGGATTTGAATCCCAGCACTCCAGTCCCAGGGGATCCAACAGCCTCTTCTGACCTCCACGGGCATTGAGGACACAGGTGCACTTACCTACATGCAGGCAATAAATGCATACACATTAAATAAAATAAATAAAAAACTTAAAAAACAAAAAAACTAAGCTGGATAGCCTGGTGTGGCAGTGCAGGTCTGTAATATCAGCACTTGGGAGGCAAAGGCAGGCAAATCTTTGCGTTCAAGGCCAGCCTGGTCTATATAGTGAGTTCCAGGCCAGCTGGGGCTATAGAGAGACCCTGTTTCAAAAAGACCAAACAAACAAACAAAAACAAACAAACAAAAAAAAAAACCAAGGTGGTGTTCGAGGGGGGTAGGACTGGAGAAATGGCTCAGAGGTCAAGAGCACTGGCTACTCTTGCAAAGGACCTGGGTTTGATTCCCAGCACCCACATGGCTGCTAACAACCATCTGTAACTCCAGTTCCAGGAGATCCAATGCCCTCTTCTGACCTCTGCAGGCACTACAGGACATGGGACAGGTACACTTACACACATGCAGGCAATACACTCATACACATAAAATAAAAAAATAAGCTGAGTGTGGTGGCCCACGCCTTTAATCCCAGCACTTGGGAGATAGAGGCAGGCAGATCTCTGTGAGTGTGAGGCCAGGCTGGCCTACATAGTGAGTTCCAGGGAGACCCTGTCTCAAAAAGACCGAAATATAATAATAAATAAATAAATAAATATAAATATTTTTAAAAATAAAAAAAATAAGCCAGGCATGGTGGTGCATGCCTTTAATCCCAGCACTTCGGAGGCAGAGGCAGGCAGATCTCTGTGAGTTCAAGGCCAGCCTGGTCTATATAGTGAGTTCCAGGCCAGCTAGGGCTACAGAGAGACCCTGTCTCAAAAAGACAAAAAAATAAAGAATAAAAATAAAAAATAGGGTGGAGGCTGGAGAAATGATTCATTGGTTAAGATACTTGCTCTTGCAAAGGACATGGATTCAGTTTCCAGCACACGCACTGCAGTCCACAGCTGCCCTTAGCTCCAGATCCAGGGGGATCTGATGCCCTCTTCTGGTCTCTGAGGGTTCCTGCATGCACATGGTACACACAATAAACCCAAATAGGCACACACACATATAAATAAATAAATAATAAAGAGATGAGGCTGGAAATAAAGGTCATTAAAAAAAAAAATGAGCTGGGCGTGGTGGCGCATGCCTTTTATCCCAGCACTTGAGAGGCAGAGGTAGGAGGTTCTCTGTGAGTTCAAGGTCAGCCTGGTCTACATAGTGCATTCCAGGACAGCTGGGGCAGGAGATCCTGTCTCAAAAAGACCAAAAAAAAAAAAAAAAAAAAAAATGAGCTCAGGTGTGGTGGCACATGCCTTTAATCCCAGCACTTGGGAAGCAGAGGCCAGCCTAGTCTACATAGCAAGTTCCAGGGCAGCTGGGGCTAACAAGAAGACCCTGTATCAAAAAATAAATAAATAAATAAATAAATAAATAAATAAATAAATAAATAAATAAATAAATAAATAAAAATTTTCCTAAAAAAGACCCCAAACAAAACAAAACAAAAGACAAGCAAATAGACAGTGCCTGAGGAAAAACAGATTGTTCTCTGGCCAGATTGTTCTCTGGCCTCCACACACAGGCACACACAGGTGCACACATACACACACATACAAGCAGACACAAAGAATTGTATTCTAGAGATGATCTTTTAAGGCTAGTAGATCCTGTTGTTCATTAAAACGTTGGAGTATGGGAGATTTTGGGGAGGGGGAGGAAAAGAGGGGGAAGTGAGCAATATTCATTTTAGAGAGGAGAGGTGAGCAGGAGAAATGTGATAGCCAGGCAGTGTGCAGTATCCACTTAAGGTGTAGTGTTACCCCTTCAAAGTGAAATCTGTTAGTCCTATTGTATGAGAGGCTACTTAGGTACAGCCTGACAGGACAGGATCCAACCAGAATGGGATGTTCCAGGTCAGATGACAGAAAAGGAAGGAAAAGATAGATGAGGAAAGTTTCTAGAAAAGTAGGATAAACCGCTGGGCTTTGGAATCTAGGTAGGATTTGTGGGGGGGGGTTGTTTTTTTGGGGGGGGTCTTTTTGAGACAGGGTCTCTGTGGCCCCAGCTGGCCTGGAACTCACCATGTAGACCAGGCTGGCTTTGAACTCACAGAGATCCACCTGCCTCTGTCTCCCAAGTGATAGGATTAAAGGCATGTGCCACCAGGCCCAGCCCCTAGGTGGGATTTGTAAGAGAAGGTAAGAGTCAAGAACAATGATTGTCAGAAAAGTTTAAACAGGTGACAAAGCTTTTTTCCTGCTTTGCTTTGCTTTGTTGAGTCAGAGTCTCACACTGTAGCCCAAGCTGGCCTGGAACTCACTATAGCCCCCTGAGTGCTGGGATTACAAGCACTGGTCACCAAGCCCAGCTTAGTGGGCCCTTTAGAGGTAAGCCAGAAGAACAGATGGTGATAGCAGAGGTCTGTAAAGGTATCAAGTATTCAAGGGAGAAAACTATCTTTTGAAATAGCAGGCAGAAAATATGCTTTGGCTGGGAGTTGGGGCACAACCACAATCCCAGCATTTAGGCTGAGGCAGAAGGATTGCCTTGAGTTCAAGGCCAACCTGGGCTACATGGCAAGATCCTATCTCAAAAAAGGAGGAAGAGAAGACCAAGAGGAGAAAGAGGAGGAGGAAACCTTGAGATAGCTTCTGGCCTGAAGTGCCTGAGATGTCAGGGGAAAGTAAAAAATAGCTTCAAAGAAACCTTCAAAGGAGTGGATTAGGCAATATTGTTTGATAGTGGCAGAGGGCTCAGAGGAAGTTTGGGGAGGGAAAGGAGAGTGCTTTTATGGCAGTAGAGGAAGAACCCAGGGATACAGGGATGAATATCAAATAGTGATGTAGGATAACCTAAAAGGGAGTGTGGAGGCAAGAGGAAATGGCACCTTGGGATTAGTCTGAGGACTACTGGAGAGAGATGGAAAATCAGTTTAAACTGGGAGAACTTGGAAGAATTGGTATAAAAATAAGGGGCCTGTTCTTCCCTGCAGATGCTGTCTCTGGTAGGGAGGGGCAGAAGTACTTTCTGGGAACAAATGGTAGTGTGTGAGCCGTTGACTTTACCTCAATAAGGACTGGAATGACTGAGTCACGATCATTAAGAAGTATTTATTAAGCATCTACTTGGTGCATAATTTAACTGTTCAACACTGTAAACAGGACACAGCATCAGCTGACACTGTAATCCAAGTGGCCAACACCTGTATCTCAGTATGGCGGAGGCTAAGGCAGGAAGATCTTGAGTTTGAGGCTTGCCAGAGTTACCCAGCAAGATAGTGTCTTACAAAAAAAAAAAAAAAAAGGTAGTCTTATGAGCCAACTGAAGTAGCTGGTTCCAGAGACTGTTCTGACTTAGATAGAAGGAACTAGAATGTAGCAAACAGAATTGGACCTTCACCTTTGCCTTATCAGGTTCAGAGAGGGCAGGTCTTTATGAAGGGCCATTTACAGTGTACACCCTGAAGAAACTTGAGAGCTTTTCAGATATGGCCGCTTTCAAGCTTAATGACAGCTCTGAAGCAACCGAGTATGTACATGTAACTATGTGAAAGCGGCTCCTCTCCATAGCCATACCACAGCAAATAAGGACATCTCTATGATTTCTCATGAGCTGGTTGAGACCTAATGCACTGGCCATTTGCAAGCCATGATAAGGAAACAAGAAAAATAAAATACAGCTTAGACTAGTAGCCTTCCTAGAGTGATCTGTTTGTCCCAACTCTTGAGATGACACTATGAATCAAGGTGTGTGATAAGAATGATCACAAACTGAATTTGTACCATTCCTCAGGAGGGCTGAGTTATCAAATGCCATAGTCCAGCTGAACTGCACACAGAACCTGTCATCACGGTATACAAAACTGACTCAGAATGTGCCCAACTTGACAATGTCCTGGGAGTCCTGTCTGTCACCATCTGGTAGCACTGACGGCCAGTCATTAGGACCTAAGAGTAGGAAAGATTGTGTGCATTAGAGGAGGAAGTAAATGGAGGAAGCCACAGATGGAGTGGAGGCAGATATCCTGTCTCTGCTGGTTCCTTGTTTATGTAAGGAAAGGGAACTTTTGGAGTCTGGAAAGAAGTCTTGTTTTTGTTTAGTTGAATTTTGTGTTTCTGAGACAGGATCTTACTCTATAGTACAGACCAGGATCTAGTTATATAGATGAGGCTGACCTTGAAATTGAAGTGAACCTCCTGGTTCTCCCTACCCCTACCCCGAACACTGGCATTGCAGAAATGTGCCACCATGCCTGCATTCAAAAATCTTTCTTAAAAACTGTTTTATAGCCAGGGTGTTGTGGTGCACACCTTTAATCCCAGCACTTGGAAGGCAGAGGCAGACGAATCTCTGTGAGTTCAAGGCCAATCTGGCCTACATAGTGAGTTCCAGGCCAACTAGGGCTACAGGGAGACCCTGTCTC